TCCCAGCTCATTAATAGTAGGGGACTTCAATACCCCACTGTCTCCATCAGATAGGTTAACAGGGCAGAGAGTTAGCAGAGAGACATCCGAATTAAACAATACCATATATCAAATGGACTTAACAGACATCTACCGAGTATTCCACCCAAGCACCAAAGGACATACTTTCAAAGTCTGTAGCCTTTCTATATACCAATAAAAAGCATTCATAGAAAGAGCACATGGAAACACTCCCCTTCACAATAGCTGCAAAAAAAAAATAAATAAAATATCTTGCAATAAAGCTTACAATCAACACCCGAAGAAGCCAAAATCACCACACGAACACATGGAGATTAAACACACTCCTGAATGATGAATGGGTCAAAAGAGAAATTAAGAAAGAAATAAAAGTATTCCTGGAATTAAATGAAAAGGACAATACAACACAACAAAACCTCGGGGACATGCTGAAAGCAGTTCTTAGAGGGAAGTTTATAGCTCTAAGTGCCTACATCAAAAAATCGGAGAGAACACACATAAAATGACTTAACAATAAATGACTTAACAGGGCATCTCAACACACTTGAAAAGCAACATCAAATGAAACCCAAACCCAGTGGACAAGAAGAAATAACAAAATCAGGGCAGAAATTAATGAAATTGAAACAAAGAAAACAATACAAAGAATCAACAATTCCAAAAGCTGGTTCTTTGTAAAGATAAACAACATTGACAGATCGCTAGCCCAGTTAACCAAAAGAAAGAAAGAGCACCTCTAAATCAACAAAATCAGAGATGAAAGGGGGAAACATCACTACAGACACCAGAAAGATACAGAACATTATAAGGGAATACTTTAAAACCTATATGCTACTAAATTTGAAAACCTAATAGAAATGGACGGATATCTAAAGGCACGGGAACCACCAAAACTAAACCAAGACGAGATTAAACAGCTTAAACAGACCCATAACAACAAAAAAATTGAAACAATAATACAAACCTTCCAGACTAAAAAAAGCCGAGGACCAGATGTATTTACAGCAGAATTCTATCAGACATTTAAAGAAGATCTGCATCCAATACTACTTAATTTATTCAAAAAATAGAAATATAGGGAGAACTTCCAAATTCATTCTATGAAGCCAGCATCACTCTAATACCAAAGCCAGGTAAAGATACAACCAAAAAAGAAAACTATAGACCCATATCCTTA